TTTCTTCATGCTGACTTGTAACCCCCATTTTATATATTCTCAGTGTAGACGCTTTATCATAAATTCTAGATCATAAGAATCTTGAGCTATGCAAAGTCGTCTGCAAAGTTCAGGGAGAACAGTACAACATTTCCTGGCAGTGGTTTTTCCAATTTTGTAGGGCTGCCTCAATATATAAATTAAACAGTAAGGGTGACATACTGCATCCTTGTCTTAGTCCTTTAGTTACTTTTATTCATGAAGTGATTTGCAAAAATCTCATGGAATATTTTTTAGACGACCGGCTCACCTTGTTATTCTATAGTGTTGTGTGCATCAGTGGCTCATCCAGGAGGGTTTCGGGGGTTAACCCCCCCCCTCCAGGGCACTATTCCATCGACACTGTTACTCACAAATTTTATGGACTCAAAATAATGGAAGTAGCATAAAAAATTTCGGTGCCATACCAAAACCCCTTTCCCCCCACACAAGAAAATTCTAGGTGCACTGCTGGTGTGCATATCCTGCGTGGTAATTATTTCTAGAACTTTTAGTTTTTTATGTGATGAAGATGCATATGAAATATGGAATACATTTAATAAAATAATTGTCATGGACCTTCAATCATAATAAAAAAAATATTTATTTCTTTATTGTTTAAACTCGAGATCCCATTAGTTAAATTAAATATTTACCAATTACTCCTTGTTTAATTTTTTTTTGTTTGATGATTAATAAAAAAATTTACAAATTAGCTTGATTGCTCAAGGCTGTATTAACGAATTTCTTTGAATTTTGAAGTACACAATAATAATAGGTAGTTGCGGTTATGTAAACAAAGCTTATTAATATTCAGATATGTTTCAGCGTCAAGTAAAAAAAGATCGACTTGCGGTCTGTATTTTTCACACGTACATTAAATAGATCCGAGGAATACATATATATTCTAACATTTAACTGATAATTACAGTGTTATATTTAACGAAAACACAAGTAAACAAAGATCAAGGTCTCCCAACCGCTAAAAAGTGTTGTGTTGATATATTTTCCATCAGTTTTCATGTAAATTAAATTTTTATCATTGTAATAATGTTTAATACAGACTGTTGTACATCTTTATTAGCAACAAGCTTCAGTAATACAGTCTCAGTAATACCTAATCTAATATCCTTAACCTCTATGTAAGATGAGACCTTGTGCCGCATGTCCCATGTTATAGTCCTGTCAGGACTTTAAATTCATGTGTTATTCAGTCTGATGACATCTTTTCCTTCCAATAAAACATAGAAATTACAGCAATGAACTAAGACTAAAAACATTCTAAAATAAAAACTAATAACAATACTGATTGCAAAACTAGTACATCTCAAAATCATTATATCTAGATGGGGGTTTAATTAATCTTTTACTTCTGGTAGGAAATCATGTTAAAAGAATGCCAGAGTACAGATGGCCTAGAAGAGTATGGAATGGATCCCTCCTGAAAGAAGAAAGGGAGGACGACCACGGAGAAGTTGGCGCAACGATATTGATCAAGCAATAGCGGCAAGAGACTTAGAAGAGGCAACTGCATATGACAGAAAAAGATGGAAATTGAAAATTACTTTCACATATACTTCACAAAATGCCCACGGTAGATACACGGACCTCTTTTAATCTACTTGTTATCTCCTTCTGCAAAACTATTCACTTCTTTTCACAATGCCGGTATCCAAACTCACGAACCACACCCTATCTTGAAACAAACGACTGTTCCTTCGATGGCCAAATTACAACTGCCTCGCTCCCGGTCTCCTAATCAGGCTAACCCCATTACCATTCAAAAACAACTATCCAATCAAAAGCTCAAATCTTGTTTACTACTGTTAATGTTTATTCTAAAAATTCTGTGTATCATTTGGGAAGACCAAATTACTGTTTCAGAGAAAGAATAAATAAAAATTGATTTTTTTGTCCTCAGTCTGTTAATACACAATCTATACCTGTTTCCAAAGATTAGAATATGGTCATTTAATACACAAACAATGACAAGATTAACTTACAGGTAAAATGTCTTCTAATTCTACACAAAGGGGTTTTTTGATAATTTTTTTGGAAACGGACAAATACAAATTTCTATTCTTATCTACACTAAATCTTATCTTAAATTACTATATACATTTTGTTTATATGATATCTTAAAATTTTATTCTGATGGATCTTTTTATTTATTTTTTTCTTTGGTTGGGAAAGAAGAAGTATGACAATATATATATATATATATATATATATATATATATATATATATATATATATATATATATATATTATATAATATATATACATATGCATATGTTTATGTTCTTCTGTATATCCTTGAAGTCCGTGTTGGATAACAAATACTGACAATCATCTTCTAATTTGCAGCATACTCGTTATCATAATATTTACACTCTAGTATCAGCGTTAAATGTTTTCATTTTTTTTGTCTGTAAAATCACGCTCCTTCATTTAAATCTTCTACTTCTTGAATTTTTTTCGGAATGACTAGTTTAAAATAGTTTTTTCATAGTTCTAAATATCGAATTAACCTTACATATTCTTAAAATCAACTTATTGGTGAGATAATCTTTTGTTGATATTATCATAGTCATTCTTCACCAGTAACGGCTTGTAATATTTGAGTTCGATTGGCAAAGATTAATAATGTTTATATACAAAAATAAATAAAATTACAACATGTAAAAATTAACAAAATCAGTTTTTAGAAATAAATTCGATTAAGATTCGAAAAACACTGTTCTAATCCTGTAGTGGTATTTGGAGCTTTTGAAACAATATTATAGCTATTGAACACATTTCGCAAACATTGTTGATAAAAAGAAAATAGTGTAAATTCATATCGATTTTCTTTAAAACTTGGATTGAAAAAGTTTGAAATCTATGATAACTGTGCCACCAGCATATGTAGCAATTGTTATTTTGTTGGTATTTGAGAGACCTGATGTGTATATTAAAAAACATGTGGGTTTTAATATGCTTCCTTATGAGACTCCACAACATATTCAAAACAGGTTAGTGATTTACCCACCTCATTTGACTTGAAAACTGGCAGCTTCTTACATTCCAACGAATAAATATCTACAAGTTCCAGGTTAAACATCACTGAAGAGAGAAAAATCTCTATATCCGACAGTCGTAACCATTCCAATTAAAACCAAAATCTAACACATTCAACATCCAACAATAACCTCTCATCCAAAGACATCGAGGATATCCTATCCGAAATAAAATTTCTATACCTAAAAATTATCATAGCCCAATCCAATAACAAACCCACATCAACACAGGATGCTCCCAGATGTCCTTATTGCGAACAACAGCATAAATTACTGCGTGACCCACAGCAAATTTACCATTTACCGAAAAGTCCAAACTGTACAGTAAATCATCTCGCATTCTCTGATAAACGTCCTAACAGAAAAGTCACACCTACCAAGCACAAACATATCCAACGAGTAACTATACAAAAACAAAACCCACAAGACGATCTCAAAACAGACATGAAATCCATAATTCCCTATATCTCAGTGATGCTTTTCAATGTCTTCCCTTAAAAGAGAAACGAGATAGACCACTTTCTCAACGAATTCTCCTAGCTACTATATGGATACACGTACACAGTATCCACATCCACTATCCCCTTTCAATTACACAGTAAAACAAACTCTCACAGTAATCCGGAACTAAACATACACTCACAATACAACTCGTACAAAAACCCACCAAAAGGCAATCACTAAACAAAAACTATACAGAAAAGAAACACAAACAACCCAAAACACACTATACTAACTACATCGAAAAATAATTGCCTATACACACACATAGACTATAAAATCGTTAAGTTAATACAGAAGGACAGGGGGAGAATGGTTTACTGTAGATTCCCAATTTCATTGCACAATTATACCTGTACCTAGGTAAGGACTCAGTCTAGTTGACTTCCACGCGTTGCCAACAATCAAAAAACTCTGAAAGGAATCATTTGTTACCCATGGAATTTGTAACTTATAGATGGGCTTGAGGCCAAAGGGAGGAGTAGCAGACGCAAACTGGTGTTTATGATTTGGAGTCGAAAGCCATTCTATTAATTTACGAATCTAATATTGCAAATCCATACTCGGAGTGGATCCACAATGATAGTCGAGTGTTGATCTGGTAGGAACTTCGCCGGATCTTTGAGTGTTGACCAAAGGCCAACCATCCGGAGTTCTATCAGAGTGTTAATCTAGGAACAACTCCCCTGGCGCTAGGGTGTTAATCGATGGCCAACCGCCACTGCTAGAGTGTTGATCTAGTGGCAGCTCTTTACTGGTCTTAGAGTGTTGATATGAGACAGACCTGTTCCGTGGCTAGGTGTTGATTGTTCACTTCTCACTCACTTCGAATGTTGTCTTCAGCATGTGTGTATTAACACACCGTATTTATGACATGACTTTTATTTGTCGCAGGTATTAAACAGCGAGTCATCGAGCTGTGCGTCGATACCGTTCTCGCTAGGATTGACAATTAAATTTTTATACATCTTATCTAGGATATAATTTTATTTATGTTATTTATTTGTTTCGAATACATTTTTATTTAAATTAAACCTGAGTTTTGCTGAGTCTGCTGTCTAACAGAACTGCCAGATATTAAAATTGAGGGGATAAGGCAATATGACTTTATTTTGGAATAAGACCTACATGCCAAACTTTGTGGAATGCCTGAGAAATATTGAGATATGCAGCTGACAGTAAGTTTTTTGATATGTATTTTAAAAAATTTTTAAGGGTTTAAAATAAGGTATAAGTTTTTATTTGACAATTTTTTGCTCCCAACATAAAAATTAATGGATAAAAGATTAATATACAATAGAAAACTGTAAAAAATACATATATGTGTAAATTAACATAGATCCGACCCTGATTAAGATCCTAAAAAATGTTTTGGCAAATAATATATATAAGCAAGGAAGCAAAAGATCTTTTAAATTAGTGATTGCTTTTCGCTTAAGTAATAATACAAAAGAATCATCATGAAGTTCTTAGTTTTGAGTTTGGTATTTGGTGTTTGCGTTGTATATGTAAGTATTAATTCATTAAATTATTCAACAACGTTAATATACATTATTATTGATTATAATTATATTGCCATTATAACATTAAAATATTTTTAATTTAAAATTTTCTTTTTGCTGAAGTATCATCTCAATAAATTAAGGTATATAGTATTATTTTTCTTTTAACAAATATATTACTTTTTAAATAGTTTAAGATTATTACAATTTTGCATAATTTAATGATTTATGCACATCTTCATACAAATTCTTTTTCCGAAACTAATTTTAAACATAATTGATATTTTGTATGCTATAATTATAAAAATATTATGTTGAAATTTTTATTATTCTACAACTTATTCATTCATACTTTTAAAAATAAGGCTTATTTTAATAATAATTGCATTTTTATACAATGGATTCCTATACGCACCTTTGGCCGAATTATATATTATATTTTTTTTCGTTAGACCGTTGATTAAAAATTGAAATATTGGATAATATTTCAATCAATGGTTAGACTAAACAATCTGAAATATGAACATACGATCTTATCCTTAAACTTCATTCACTATTTTATGGAATTGTTGTGTGCTTTAAACGTTATATTTGTTTTTCTTTAACTTAAATAAGTTTGAAAGTTTCCTTGTGTTTATTTGTTTTATATTCCATATAAATTAAAATGAGGTAAGCTAAATTATTATCAAGCGAATGTGTGTATATAGTAGTGCATTTTTTTTGTTTATTTTAATAAATTCTCGAAATACGAAATAAAGGGGACACAGGCTACTAAAGAGTTAATGGCGTTGTTAGAAGAAGACCTCGATTGTGAAATCATTAATTGTGAATCACTTGACCTGGTTTATGTGCAGTCGGAAACAAATGAAGTTTTCGACGACAGAAGATGAAATACAAGTGAATGGGAATTCTGACAATTCTGATAATGATATTCCTCTGAACCACAGATCAAAACGTCCAAAGAAAGGACCAGGCAAATAGTAGTAAATTTCGATAGTTAAAAACGCACTTTTTTGACAACTTCTTTAAGTCATATTCTCTTTTTGGACCATTGAAAGAAAAAGGATAACAAATACATGGGTGGAGTAGATCTGCATGATAATGGCATTGCGAATTACCGTATTAAAATATGAGGAAAAAAGTGTTGGTGGCCATTGTTTACTATCGTGATTGATTGACAGTATGGTGGTCAATAGTTCGAAAAATTTTAAAGTTGCGAATGATTCTAAAATTAGTGAATATGTATAGTGAAGAAACCTATATATCAGTGTCAAACTCAGTACATGGACGTCCATCTAAATTTGCTTTTCTTACGCTTCGTATAAACTCTGTAGTTATCTCAGTTACTTATGGTCAATTTTCCGAGCTTGCTTTACTCCAAGATATTTATACATATCAGTTTCACCCAGGGCTATATTTAAAACACGGCACTTGTTTAGTCCGAAGTGCATGCTAAATTATTCGAGAAGGTTTCTACAGTTGCTAGTATCTGATCTATTTTGTTATCATTTTTGCTATTTTTGATGCTAAAACCTGAGTCAATGGAGTTCAATAGCTGGGATAGGGAGTCCATCGCAAGACAGAACCACAGTGAACTCAACGAGTCTTTTGTCAGGCATTTGTAAGTGAATTTTGGTCTTTTAGTCACGGTATTATCATCAATTTTATTTATTATTAATATATCTATAAGCCATTCATGCTGCACTGAGTCAAAGGCTTTCTTGCAGACAATAAAAGCAGTAAAGAAATTCCTTTACTGCCTTTATCTTTCCGATGAAACCCTTCCAGTTAATAATTAATAATTACAATTTAAATCCTCAAAATCAATTATATAGCCTTCTCACAGTTTAATGCAGTTATTATTGTAAATTATATAATTATCAGTGAAGATAACATAAAGGATAATTTAAATTGTAATTAAACTTTAAATCCTCAAATTCAATTCTGAATGCATTTTGTACAAGTTATTTTATTTTGTTTTAATATTATATTCCTTTAAAAACTGTATTTATATAAATAAGAAATATAAATGGCTTATCATTTTAAAAAATACCTACTTATGAAAATCTGATACCATGTTTATATCAATAAAAAAATTATCAGTCATAAATTCTACTGCATAAAATATTCGCTTATATTCTTCTATTCTACTAATAATTTTCTGGTTTTAGGCCGATATCACTTCTGAACAATTTGAGAAGCTCAAAAACCACCATAAGGAATGCCTTCCTAAGTCCGGAGTTAACCCCGAATTGGTCCAAAAGGCAAGACAAGGTGATTTCGTCAACGACCAAAAGTTAAAAGAGCATATCTTCTGTGTTTCCAAGTTAATCGGTTTCCAAAATGAAGCCGGCGATATCCAAACAGACGTTCTCCAAGCTAAAGTAGGTGCTGCCTTGGGAGACCCAGCTCTAGCGGCCCAATTGATTGCCACCTGTGCTAAGAAACAAGCTAGCGGACCCGAAACGGCCTATGAAACCATCAAATGCTATAAGGAAAAGAGCCCAAACCACATTAGTATTGTTTAAATATTGACTATTATAAAAATCAACTTTTGAAAAAATAAATTGTTTATGTCATATATTTTTTTTTTGTTTTTCGTATTTTCCACGTAAATATTTGTAGTCTATCCTGTTTGGACAATAATCAAATTTAATAATACAAACAGAGAAATTAGCAGGAGTGAAGATTACCTGCCAGTGCTGGTACTTTCCTAATTAAATTTAACTAAAATTAATATTTAAATAATTTTATTATATTCTAAACAATTTACTTATAAAATCTATCTGGTAAGTCCAAGGATTTGTGTCGTATAATCTTCTCACTTTACTACTGTTGCCCAGTAGGTTACCGCACCAGAATTTGGGTTGAACTTCTAACTGCCTTAAATGTCTGTCACTTCACTTTTTTATTTCTTCGCGCACAATACTCACTAAAGGCTCTATTTACATTTGGCAAGTTTACTGGAGGACAGCACTGAAGTCACTCCGATTTCGTTGAACCTTACGATTTTCATGAAAATTGGTGAGTAGTTAGAGGATACCTTAAGAAATAAAAGTGAGATGGTGTCAACTTGCGCTTTTACCCTGGGGGTGGAAATTATTTTATTAAAAATAACCCCAGGAATCGATAGAGGGACCAAATCTAAACAAAATTTATATTATAAAGTTATTAAAATACATCAATACTTTTTGAGTTACTGAAGATGAAAGATTTTGATTTTTCGTGAAAAAGATGCATGTTTTAAAGCGGTTTTTCATAAATAACTCAAAAACTATAAGTTTTTATAAAAAAGTTGTACCAAAATTAAAGCTAATAAAAATTTAAATAAATTTCTTGCTTGAAAAACTTTTTTGACGGCGAGTACTCAAATCGAATATTCAAGCTTAAATAACGGGAAAACAATGCATTTTATCAAATATATAAAGTATGAAATTAAAGATATGACCATTTTCTGGGCACAACTTCCTAAAGCTTTAGGCATATTTGAAAATTTATAAAATTTTCAAATTTATAAATATTAGTTCTGAAAAGAACTTTTTTAGTTTAATTTATAGCAAAAATTGAAACGAAAAAAATAAATAACCAACACCACCTAACCACAGAATATTGTTTTCTATTTTGGGTGGGACCTAACCTCCACTCCACTTCTGTTCTGTGCCTCCTGTTCACAAATACAATAACAAAAAGCCGTGAGAAATGAACTGGCAATATTGCAATATTTTGCCAACCGATATTTCACTAAAAGTCACTAGATTTATTAGAATCTATAGAGAGAGGGGCATGGGGAGTTTGCTGTATGGTTGGACATTTAAAAGTTACTAGACTGTCACATTTTCATTCTTAACGTAAAAAACTATACTTATTGAACAATTTTCCAAGTACTCAGAAATACCTATAAAATGAGCTCTAGAAGAAGTTGATAGCATCAAAATTAAGCAAGTTACGATGAAAATAAGAGGACCCTTTCGAATTTTTTTTGGAAAAAGTGAAAAATAAAAACATACGCCATTTCCATAAAAATTTAAATTTGTAGTAATTCCTATAAGACTTTCTTTATTTTAGCATAAGTAATGACCTCAAAAATTTTGACTGGTTTAGAATGCATATTTTTGAAAAAAAATTTGATTAAAAAAAAATCGGAAATTTTCAAATTTTCATAAATTTAATTTTCTTTTGAGAATAACTCCATATATACTCAATATACTTAAAAAATGATATAGAACAAAATTTGAGGTTTTTTTAACAAAGATTTTTCTTTTTTTATCTTTTTGTAGGAAAAAAATGATTGAGAGAAACGTTTAAAATCTAAATTTTACTGCAAGAACCATGTAACCGGGACTCCTTAACCGTTTATCTTTTAAAAAATAAGGGATTTAAAAGATTAAAAATTTCATACGACTTTATAGCCCTTGAAATTACATTTCAAATGGTTTTCCAATAAACATGATATCATAAAAACTGCGTTACTTAACAGAGAGTTAACTGTTAAAAAACTTAACAGAGTTACTGTAAAAAAATCAATAACAATTTTTTAGAAAAATTTTTTTCCGCAAATCGCCAGGAAATTTTGACATTCCTGTCAAAATTTCTTGAAGAAAAAATCAGGACTTCCTTACTGTAAGGAAATGATATTTCCGTGCAGTTGTTAGTGTTCTACATAAATGATAGAAAGCACATTGCTTATAAGGAATTAATTTATATTTTGAAAACATCAAGTCATTGCTGAATACATTTTTAAGATCAATTTGTTATATTTACAGTAATTTGACAGTTAGTACAATTATTGAACATTGGAGGAACACTCTTAGAACTATGAGAAACATTTTGGACAACATGCAGGGTGGAAGTGTCATTTTGTTGAATATTTTGTACTGTGAAAAATTTTATTTGCTACCTCAACCTTATTGTTAAGCGATTCTTCGATATATCCTTCAGCAACATTTGATGACTTCCATCCGCCATGCCTCTTTAAACTAGTTATGTCGGCACCAGAGTCAACCAATATTGTTGCAGAAGACCGACGAAAGCAGTGACCAGTATATTCTGTCGGATTTACCAAGTTCAAATAAGTAGCAATTATTTTGGGCATTTTTCTAAATTGATGAATTCCTACCACTTGTCTACAACCCTTTCCGCTTTGATATTTAAAGAAAAATCGGTCACTGTTCATATTTTCTGGTCTTAACGAAACATACTTTCGATAAACATTCAAGTAGATCTGATTAATTACAAATGATCTTGGTTTGTTGGTTTTCGAATCAGGTATGCTGATTAAAAGCTTAGATTCTAAGTCTTCTATATCGTGTACAGTCATTCGGACTAACTCATCCATTCTACAGGCCCCAGAAATACCAAATATTACAGCCACCTAAAAAATAAATAAAGCTATAATCTAAATAGAAATTAAAACCTTGTAAATTACCTTAATCATTAAATTTTCTTTATCTGGAGCTTCCTGGATAAATTTTTCAATTTCTTCCTTCGTTAAAATCTTAGATTTCTTTGCCCTATAACCTTGAGCTTGCCGTTTCAATAAAGAACGAAGTTTTGAGTATGTAGATATATCTACATTGTGTTTAAGTGCAAGGGTTGACTTCAACATTGAATAATTGGCCCATAATGTTGAAGATTTCATCTTTAAACAAAGGTCTAGGAAGTATGCCATTACAACATTTTCTGAGAAAGAACTCGTATTTTTACTCATGCGATAATCCATAAAACGTCTGTATGCATTTTCGTACTTTTCTCTTGATTTCTTTGGCAATAATTCTAATGAAGCAGTATTCACTGCCTCAACCAGCTCTGGAGGAGTCCCAGGAATGGAAATTTCATCATCACTTATCATTTTACTTTCGAGAACACCAGCAATTAAATTTATAAGCGTCAAGTTTGAAAATTCAACCTCAATACGTTTCCATAGTAACCCAAGTAATTTTATTAGGAATTTCAAAGCACCATTTATTTGGGAATAAAATTATCGCGTTTTTTTTAAATCAATCAATATCTGTCGAATTTTAAACGATTTGCGGAAAAATAGTATGTTTACCTCGTAGGAAAAGCCACATTCCTGGACTCTGTGTTGCTAAGTCTTGGCTTGCGCCTCGACTTAGCAATCTTCACAGTAGTCCAGGAATGTTATGATTTTCCTACCCGGTAAACAATGTACTATGGAGTAGAGATTTTGTATGTATATATAGGAAAAAAAGATAGGTAATAAGAAATAAACGTGTCGATAGGTATATGCTCACGAAATATATATGGATATAATATGGATGTGTGTATGTATATTTTGAAGATAGAAGAAGTTAGTGAAAGGAATTCTGTATATCTGCTCAAAAACATGATGTGACTCGACTTCTGCTTTTTATAATAAAGGGAAGAAAAAAAATTATCGATCTTCTAGACAAAAGACCTGATTTGAGAGACAAGATCGATATATTTTATAATAAAGCTGCTTATATCGATGCCATTTTAGAAACTGATAGGTACTGCACAATATTTTTGTACGAGTACAAAGATGTGAATTGGTTACACTCAGCTATCACACTGGACAGATGTAACGCTAATATGCAGTAAATAATCTCTACATCCCAACGGTTGCTGCATTGGATGAACATATCAAAAGAGTTTATTTACAAACCCAGATATAGCTTAGAAACAAAGACATTCGTCCAGTTGACTGGGGATGGTGCAAAATTGAAGAGTCTTTATTTCCAACTAAAAATCACAATCCACCTGCTCTAGAAGAATTTTTTAAAATGATTTTTTGCAACTGCAAAAGGCTGCGCTTCTTGCGGGTGTCGAAAAGTAGGGTTATTTTGCAATGCAGTCTCGGATCATGCAGTGGGGACAATTGCCAAAATAACCCTCCAATTAATGAAAAAGGAGAAATTGGTGAATAGAGCTCTGATGAAGAGTGAGAAATTAACAATTAAAGTACTATTAATATTTGATTAATTTATAAAACATTACTTAAATAAAAAATTAATAAACTTTCATATCTTAATATATATTTTCATAACTTTTCAAAGTTTGGAATATATTAAGAAAGTTTATCATAACCAATAAAAAAGTTTCTAAATGATTAAAGCTATTAAAGCTAATAAAAAAACATTTTCCAATAGTTTTATGACAAGGGGTAGTTTTTAAGGGTGCAAAATTACGCAATAAATAAATAAATACTTTAATACTCAGTAAATGAGATTTCAATTCAGTAATGTATTATTCAAATAATTAAAGTTTCTTGAAATTAATTTTTTTAATGATTCTGCTTTAAGGGTGTGGTTTTTAAGAGTTGAAATTTCACAGTCCAGCAAAAATTATATCATAAACATTAAAGAAACTATTTTAGTAATATTAATATGCGATTTGATATTTCAGAAATATAAAAAATGTTTTTTCATGATTTCGTTTAAGGAATAGTTGCTAAAAGGGTTGAAAAATTAATTAAAATCATAAATCATGCTTATAAATGTTGCAAAATATTTATTTTATTTAATTAATCGAGATTACTTATGTCAGAATGCTCAAATTTGCATTTTTTACCATTTTTAACAAAAGTGGTGGATTTTATCCCTA